CTCAGTACAAGTACAAAGTAGCCAAAAAAATACTTAAGTACAGTAACGAAGTCCATTTACTCAAGTACTTTACACCACTGTACAACATGATGATTTGAAAAAGATAAAGTATCATTGAAAGTGTCATTCAGTGTGGTTGCCAGTTGGGGGCGCTGTTTTCACATTTGAATATGATCAAACGGAATACAGCTTGATTTGTCTGAAGAGTACTTCCATTACATATCAATACTTTCAACAGACAAAGCCAAATTATAGAACTTTATTGAACAATTCACACTGTGGAAAGAGCTTTGAAGACATACCAGCAGATACACTCAGGAGAGAATCTTTATAGCTGTTGTAAATGTGGGTGATCTTTGGAGTTTTATGACCAGTTTAACATTAAGTGACCCCACAAACCTTTCCCTGGGGAGGAAACATTTGGGTTCACGCTGTAACAGGTAAGCCATGCCTTCCTAAGAAACACCAGGTTATGCACACAAGAGAGAAACCATTTTCTCTGAGCTCACTTTCTGGAACTGCTGCCTCATTTCAGAAAAAAAAAACATTTAACTCTACAAAGAGAGTGACTGGGAACAGTACTACAAAAATATTACATGTGACTTAAAAGGAACTGAAGACACAATAATTTGGTAATATATTTTTAGCAGGTTGAACCATGGAACGGTTAGGGTGCTTTCCGTCCGACATGTGGAAAAAGTCATGTGTGGCATGAGTATGAGAGGATAGCGGCATTACCGAGATCGTTGCTAAGATTATATGCAAGAAGACCTTCTAAATGTACAACCGGAAATGACATCACATCTGTGGAGAAAAACTTTTTTGCAACATTGGTAGTTCAGAATTAGAATGAAGAAGTGGTAGAAACATGAAGCAATTTCTTGCCTTTTATACACAAACTGAGTGCTTTGCAGCCTTGCTTCCCTGAAGGCTGGTGTTTTGTTCAGGCTTGACTGAATCATTATTTTGATTCCATGATCCAAATCACATTGTAGTATGTTGTTTTTATAACCGTACTGTGTGAGTATGCACACACACACACATACGTACATCCCAACAATAACAACCTTAACCCCTACCCAGCCCTAACCTTAACTGTAAGTAACCAAACAAAATACAAGACTTTCAGCATTTTTAATTTTTTGATTGCAGCCACAGATTTTTATAATATTGAGTTTCCCATTGTAAGGACTGAAAAAATGGTCCCCACAATGCTGATTAGGCCACTAAACTGTGTTTCTAGTTGTAGTTGATGTTGCAGCAACCTTAGCATGACTACGCCAGAGCAGGACGGCAGATCAGAGATTGTGCCAGATTAGCTGCCCATACTGCTGCCTGCAGACTTAACGCCTGTGTCAGTGACAGGACAGTGAGGGACAGTGAGGGACAGTGAGGGACAGTGAGGGACAGTGAGGGACAGTGAGGGACAGTGAGGGACAGCCTCAATGCTGCTGGCCTTAGCAGATGACGACTGGTATCATCTCACATCAGGCTGGCTGTCATGCTTTGTTCTTCAGCCTCTTCTGTGCAGATGGGAAGGTCAGAGTGTGCGGGAGGAGAGCAGAGAGTTCTGCTGAGGTCCGTGTCCAGGTAGTGGACTTCAGGAGGTCTGCCCCTCCATTGCCGTCTGTCACCATCGACGGGGTGAATGTGGAGACTGTCAGTACATACAAGTACCTGGGGGTTCACCTGGACAATAAGCTGGACTGGTCTGCTAATGCTGAAGCACTTTACAAGAAAGGGCAGAGCAGGCTCTACTTCCTTAGGAGGCTGGGTTCCTTCATTGTCTGGAGCAAACTCCTGCTTATGTTCTACCAGTCTGTCATGGCCAGTGTCCTTTTTTATGCTGTGGTATGTTGGGGAGGCAGCACTAGGAAGAGGGATGCTGGACGTCTGGACAGGCTGGTGAGAAAAGCAGCTCTGTGGTG